ATATATATTTGATATCCATTTAATGATTTAAATGTGGATCCAAAAATGTATAATGCAATCCTGACCCTAATTATTTAATGCACCATAAGTACATGGTACCATATTATCAGATTTATGAGTTATGATCTGGCATTATTGGCCTCCAACATTTGAGGGGGGGGGGGGGGGAAGAAAAAGAATGTCCTTCAACGAAAGCAAAATGTCGATAGTTTAAGACAAGTTCGGATTCCAATAGAATTCATTTAAAAAAATCGACAAATAAGATGAAAGTTCTGTTTTTTATTTATTTATTTTGTCTGAAAACTTCAGAGACAACTTAGGAGCACCTAATGCTATACTTTCATATGTGTGTCCCATCATCATCTCCATGGTTTAGATTTTCTTAATATCAGATTTTCTAAATTTTCGATATTTCATAATTACATAAATCTAGATTATTTTTAAAGTTTTAGATTAAATCTCTTGATGGAAAACTCTCGTAATTGTATATATAAAAATATAATTCATTTAAACACTATCGTTCTTCGGACAAAAAAAGAAAGGATAAATTATGGTGATATTTACTAGGGCCACTGAGCTGGGTTAAAAAGCCGGTTCCACGTGGCAAATCATAAGCCGCGAGAGCGCTGTATCGGTTGCGGAGCAAGTCGGCCACAACCATAAGCAGCCGATTTCTGGGGCTGTCAACGGCGATGCCGAGGGAAAATTTTCCGGCCAAGTCAGTGTCTTTGACCACAGTGGCCTCTTGCAATACGAGACCCGGTGTGTAGTCGTCGGGAACGTGGATTTCACCGACGCCACCTTCCAAGAAACTGACGAGGATCGATGGCCTTGATCGTCCCACTTGGCGCACTCCCTGAAAAGCCTGTGCTATGGTAGTGGAAAACATGGCTGGTAGGCTCGGCACGTTCTTTTGAGATGATGTAAGCTACGGGTATTGCCGATACGATGAAGACGAGAAAAAGGAATCCAGGAAGCAAAATCTAAGCGCCATTCTTTTCGTCTGTTTGGGTGAATAGAAAACGAAGACCGAAAATAATGTTACTGGAGTTGTGAAAAGAGATAAGTAAGAAGCGGGTTATAATTAGGTAACCGCGTAACTCCAAAAGGAAAGTGTGGCATTGGTGGTTTTGCTCAATTATTTGGGTTGTTCTTGGTTTCCATCACAATTATTTTAGCCTTGAAATTGGATGCTGAGTCTTGTATGTTAGCATTATCTTTTTGGATAAATTATATCACTCCCCATTAAATTTTATTCTTCTACTTCATTTATTGTATTTTAAACTTTTTTAATCAATTCATTCAACGTTAAACATTGAATTTTTTATCACTTCACCATTAGCTTTCTAACCACGTTATGACGTTAAATAAATATTTTTTTAATCATACAAAATAGATTAAAATAAAATAATTATTTTTTTCTTCCTCCTATTTCTATAATCTTTATTTCTCTCTTCAACTTGAACATACCCAGTTTTGACCACTATATAGACTATCGTTCTGATCACCGTCGGTCATCGTCGTCAGAGGTCAATAACTCTAAAAAAATTTCACCGAACATGTCTCACAATTTTGAATATAAATTTAGTGTTCTTTTAACCGGAAAATACCCCAAATGACCCAACCCTAAATCCCATATCGCAACCCCCACCTCACCCTAACTTTAGATGGCAACACTTTTATGTGATGCTTACATTCACTGCTTAAGAAATTCAGTTTCGAAATTTGGTATTAAGTTTAGATAATTACTCACCTGTCACTTCTCTTAAAAAAACTAATGTTCGGGGATGGCATCTCAGAATTCTTACTTGAAGGATAGGGTGAATTCAAATTGAGTGAGTTGAAACCATCATTGAATTAGACTTGTCCCAAGAAGTAATCAGATGAAACCATTGCTTTATGATATTAGAATAAGCAATTTGGGTCTTTGAAAGAGGGGGGGGGGAGTGATGATGATTTGAGATTTGAAGCTTGGATTTATGGTATGGAAGTTTAGAATTAGGGTCTGAGAATATAATTTAAGAATTTTTTTTATATTTTTTTAGATTGTAAATCCTATGTGATATATTTTATTATTAAAATCAGTCACGTAATAACCATATTAATTAGAAAATGGACGAGTGATCAAAAACTTAATGTACAAAGTTGAGTGAATGGATGTCCCTTGTTCCCATATGTAATGAGGTAAGGGGGAGGTAAGATAGTAGGCTGCCCCCAACACTAGGTTGAGAGCAGCTTCCGCAGGAGACCTCCAAATTATGAAATGCCCTCCATGGGACTCGATCCCCCCCTCAAGGTTAAGAACCTTGAGCTCTACCAACTGAGCTGAATGGTCATTGAAAAAAATATAATTCAGTGATAAATAATGTAATTTATCTCTTTTCTTTTGGGTAAATTACACGCTTACTCAATGAACTTTACTCTCTCCTATTTCACTCACCATACTTTCAATTTTTCAGTTTGCTCACCAAACTTTAGACATTAAACTTTTTGGTCACTCGACCGTTAATTATCTAACGAATTTATGACGTGGATTACTAAATATTTTTAATCATTAAAAAACAAATAAAATTAAAAAAAATCATTTTCATTCATTCTTTCCTTTTCTTTCTCCTCCCTCCCTCCTCCCTCTCATTGTCTCAACTTATACAAAACCTTGGACTTCCGTTCTGAATACCACAAGCCACCTTCGTCGGAGGTCAATGACTCTCAAAATTTCAATCTAAAAAGCACGTCAAATAACTCAAACCTAATTCCCAGCACCTTCATGGAAACATCTTCAGTTTTCTTGATTCACGCCATGAGAGTTGAAGGCACCAAAGCATGGGTATCCACCATTCTTGGTCCACTGAGATTGATGTCCTAAGCCGACCACTATGACGAAGTGCTTTTAGTGCATCGATAAACTATCTAATGGAAGGATTTCTCCTTTGTTTCTGGAGCTTATTCTTTCAAATAATGTGAATAATGAAATGTTTTTTTTTCTATTTGTGTAATGTAACTTGCCAGGATTAACCCACCATTTGATCGACCCACCATTTATGAATTTGATTAATGGAGGTTCTGAATGCTCATTATTTTTTTAATCCTTTGCTAAGTTCCAAAGGTTGATGGATTTTACCCTATTTCATCCTCAAGGTTTGTTGTGGAAGCTACGCCAGTGTTTTTGAGGATAGAATTTATCCTATTTAGAATTTGGGTTTTTGAAATAGGGGAGAAAGATGTCATTGATGAATTGAGATTTGAGGTTTGAATTTCGGGTTTTTTTTTATCCTTTGTTAAGTGCCAAAGGATGATGGTTTTCTCTATTAGCAATTTCTGCTTGAAGGGATTATCTATGATTTATTTGGTTACCTGGGAAAATGGAGAAGAGAAGATGGTGGAGAGATAAAGGTATAAGAGAAGACCGGGTTGGGCATAATAATAAGATATATATATAAATATATTAATTGATTAAGAAATTAATAAAAAATGCTAGGTTATGATTCTGGAGCTTATTCTTTCAAATAATGTGAATAATGAAATGTTTTTTTTTCTATTTGTGTAATGTAACTTGCCAGGATTAACCCACCATTTGATCGACCCACCATTTATGAATTTGATTAATGGAGGTTCTGAATGCTCATTATTTTTTTAATCCTTTGCTAAGTTCCAAAGGTTGATGGATTTTACCCTATTTCATCCTCAAGGTTTGTTGTGGAAGCTACGCCAGTGTTTTTGAGGATAGAATTTATCCTATTTAGATTTGGGTTTTTGAAATAGGGGAGAAAGATGTCATTGATGAATTGAGATTTGAGGTTTGAATTTCGGGTTTTTTTTTATCCTTTGTTAAGTGCCAAAGGATGATGGGTTTTCTTATTAGCAATTTCTGCTTGAAGGGATTATCTATGATTTATTTGGTTACTGGGAAAATGGAGAAGAGAAGATGGTGGAGAGATTAGAAGGTATAAGAGAAGACCGGGTTGGGCATAATAATAAGATATATATATAATAATATTAATTGATTAAGAATTAATAAAAAAAAATGCTAGGTTATGACGGTGTTAAGAAATAAATGATCGAGTGACAAAAAAAATCAATGATTAAAGTTCAGTGACTAAATTGAAAAAAATTAGAAGTATGGTGAGTGAAATAGGATAGAAAGTAAAGTTTAGTGAGTAAGAATGTAATTTACCCTTTTATTTTATATATTGTTTAGGCGAGAATTTGTGCCAAAAAAAATGATGATAATAATTTGGGTAAAGTATAAGTTTAGTATATAAATTATTATTTTTTATTTCGTTTTGATGTCTAATCTTTATTTAAAAACAAAGAATCACACTTAACGTCTAGTTTATGTTTCATTTGGTACATATTGTTAAAAAATTAACAGCAAAATTAACATGTCATCATAAAGTAATGTCATCATCATTTAAAAAAAAAATAAAATTATATATGTCAACATTTTTGTTAATTTTAATGATAAATTATCAAATTAAAACCTAAACCAAACATTGAATATGATTTTTAAAAAATATAAATTTTAAGTACCAAAAAGGAACAATACCTTCATATCATTGATCACATTTTATGATATTCACATTATTATAAATATTCACATTATTATAAATAATGTTACATGTGTTAACTAATTTTGACAAAAGTGATTTAGATTCATGAATTTGAGTTTGTAAGATTAAATTCAAATCATACTATCGTTATTACTCTTGGGGGTTGTCTGTAAATTTATATAAATTTTAATTGGTCTTAGGTATACCCTAATACAGAAATAAATGAGCCACCCTAATCTAAATTTTTAAACATGAAATAATAATAATAGTAAAATAATAATAATAATATAATAATATAATAATAATAATAATAATAATAATAATAATGTTACATGAAATATATCTATCGACTCGTTAATAAGTTGGGTTCCTTTTTTTCTTCAAACCCACTCGAGACCACTTTATTTCAAAAAGGGCAAAATATATAATTTGTGTTTTCTATAAATAAATAAAAAACAAGTTGTTAAAGAAGTAAAGCCTCATTTCTCTGGGACGGCTGTAGCCATCGGATTCCATCCTTGGTTCATCGACACAGTTTCGTTCAGGTAAACCCTAATTTTGTCCTTCGATTTTCCTTCCATTTCTATGGGGTTTCGATTTCAAATATTTTTATGCGTTGATATGATCTCAGCTGTTTTAGTTCTTACTCTTGAAAGTTCTTGAGATTTATTTCAGTGATTCAACAACGTCCACGATGGTGATTTAAGATCGTTCTTTGTTTACGATTGTTTCAACGGATTTTTCGAAATTTCGGTTGAATTTTTTATGCTTTTTCTTAATTGATAGCTAAAAGCATAAATTTCGATTTTATTATTGTTTAAATCACAGCAGTGCTTGTTTTCATTTTGCATTTTTGCATTAGTTAGGGCTGTATTGCTTGATTGGTTGGGAAGTATTCGGAATATTTCCTGTCTAGATAAGAGACTCAAAATCTGTCTCTATAATTTGCGTGCTAGGACATAAAGATAGTCCGAAGTATGCAATGTAAAACTGCTGTTGAATGGAACCAAGAAATTGAATATTGAATGCGTTGATCTGTTGCATTGGCAAACAGGAAGCTGTTAACGTGAGCTTCATTTACAAATTTATGCTGTAAAGCATTAAACAATGAATAAGTTGAATGGGTTGGCTGCATTGCTTGATTGATTGACAACCATGAAATTGTTTTTTAACACAACGTTTTAGATGCCAGCTTTATTGGTCCCAAAACAAAGATGTATAAGAACTACTGATTATAGTCATTTTGAATAAAAGGAATCAATATTTGAGAACGAATCTGCATATGTTTTTCATCTTTCTTCCATGTGTTGATTCAAATGGGTCAAATTGGTAGTTATAAGTACAAAAATTTTCATGGATTGCTCTATATTGTCATTATTAAGGGTTATGAACATTAGAGTTGGAAAATTAAATGGTTTAATTATTGCTTGGGTTTACTAGATTCAACTACAGAAGCGAAATGGCTGGTGGGAGAGTTGCTCATGCTACCTGGAAAGGACCAAGTGTTGTTAAGGAGATAGTTATCGGGATAACGCTTGGCCTTTGTGCTGGTGGGCTTTGGAAGATGCATCACTGGAATGAGCAGAGGAAAGTGAGAGCATTCTACGACATGCTCGAGAAAGGTGAAATCAGTGTTGTTGCAGAAGAATAAATGTTTTAATATCTTATGAATTGTCGACAGCTTCAGCTGCATTTTGTTTTATTATATTCCCCTTCATTTGGCTCTTATATCGATGATGAGAAACTCCATTTGAATAATTTCATCTCATGATCTTGATTTCAGTATTAGCTTTGCGAATTGTGCCCTTGTGGCTTCTTCTATAAAAAAGGTTTCTTCTGCATCTGTTCTATGATGTGTTTGATCTTGAGCTGTTTGATCAAAGTTTGAAAGCTAGTCGTGTCAAGTCTTGTTGTCATGGTTCCAGTTGGAGAGTGGGAAGATTATAAAAATGAGCACCATAATTGTTAGTGGTTGTAGATTACAAAAATCAAATGTCATTATGGGGTTATAGTTTCATTATCAAGAATGTCTTCTTTATGAAGTTAACAAGACCCGGCTCAGCAGACGGCGTTGCCGGTAAACCAATAACAATTAAAATTCATGGGTTTTAAGTACAAAAGTATTGTTTTATACAAGAATATGTTCTTTATGATATACAAGAACACAGTTTTTAAATGGTGTAGAAAGATCTTTAACTACACTTTATTCGACAAAATGTGTAACACCCCAATTTAGGGGTTAAATTTTAGAAATTATAAATGGTGGATTTAATTGGTATTTTGGGAAGAAATTGAGGATTAAATTGAAAATTTTCAAGTTGACAGACCGTTTTATAAAGTGTAGGAAATTAAATGGCTAAACTCATGATTTAACATTTTTTTTATGGGATGAATTATAAACCCCTTTCCCCTATTGTTTTTGCGTATTTTCCCAGTTTTTCCTCCCCGTTGACCCTCCTTTCCTCTTCGATCTACTCACCGTCCGATGTTTATTTGACGAACCGAAATCATCATCGTGTTCTTCATCGATCGATGAACAAACCCTTAAATCAATTGAAGTAAAACGCTATCAAACGCTGTGAATTCCGAGTCAAAGTTTCAACATTATTTTAGCACCACCGCCGAGAAAATCTTAAATTTATCGTCGATCGTTGCTTCGTTTTCGACACCTCTCGCACCATCGTGTTCCTTGTGCCGTTTCGATCCGTCAGGGTCCTCCTTGTTTCCGTCGGCGGTGGCGCATGAGGGAGGTGAAGCAGTCAAAGTTTCAAATTTGTTGAAATCGAACTCTCCATTCAAAATTGTGAATCGAGCTTAATAAGTGTCTTAAAATGCCTTAAAATAATTTTTAGGAATTTTTCCGGGAATTTTAGGACACTCCACGGAGTCGCAGGCGCCGCCCCTGCACGTGAGGAAGTTTTGGCCGTAAATAAAAAAATTTGGCTGCTAGTTTTGTAAATATTTTTAGAATGGTTCCTAATTTGTAATTAATTTCTGTTAGAGTGATATTTGTGTAAAATCGTTGACCGTAGACCGTTAACCGCCATTGACCGCTGATCGCCGTTGATCGTTGACTTTGATAGAAAAAGTCAAAATTTTCGGAAAAAAAAAATCATATTTTAAGTTTTTTGATGTCTCGAATCTTTCTTTGGGGTTCGTTTCACCACATTCGAACACGTTAAATTGTTTTTGACTGATTTATCATCCGATTCGATCCGTTTTTCGGAATTAAACTCCGTTTTTTATGTACTTTCTATTGATGCATCTAAGGAATTATTGGAAGTTGAATTAAAGATCGAGGACATTCAAATGGAATTTAAATGGTTGATCAGTATGACACAGAAATCGAGGTAATACATTACTACATCTTTATGCTTTATAAAACATGTTGGTATTGGTAAATGCATGAATGGAAATGTTTGGTCTTATATGTGTAATTAATGAAGTTCTACACTCGATTCGAATACAGTAAAAATTTGGTAACTGAATATGGATCAAATGACTAATATAAGAAATTGAAGGACAATTTGAATTCAATTACAAGTTATGAGATTAAGTGATATAAGAATCAACAATGGATAAGCAATTTATAATCTATCTCATTTGACAAGGTATGAAAATACTTCGATTAAATAAAATTACGAAATTACCCTTATGTTGGAAAATGACAAGAATTGTCCCTGAAAGTTGATTAATAACTGAAAAGACTTATTGGTCTGATAAAACTACAGATGTGCATAAAAAATGTTAGTTTTAATTGGAAAATTCGGATAACCGGTTTTTAACCCCAAGAGGGTTTATGCACGATAATAGAAGTTTGTTAAGGAATTATTTCATGATTTGAGAATGTTCTGAAAATAAATTAACCATAGGATCTCTAAATTATAGTTATTTTCGTAAAGATTTAATATCAAAACTATTTGGTTAAGAAATTACGAAAATGCCCTTGAAAGGTAAAAATAGTTCGAGTTGTCCGGAATGAGAAAGTACTTTGAGGATTTGTACTTAACTCGATAAATTACGAATTTAATTGTTAAGATCTTGTCTTTGTATAGAAAAAATCATGATATTCAATTTGTAAAATCTGAGAAGGCACTTGACCCGAAAATATCCGAGTTATGAGTAAATACCGGAAGAACACTTTATCGGGGTGTTCTTTTGTCAGAATTGTTCGACAGGACTGAAATAAATGATAAGATTGAATTTAATAGAAAGATCGGACGGAAGGAAATGATTGAAATACAATGAATCTATAAAATGACCAAAATACCCCTGGAATAGAAATGACTCAAGAATATCACCAAGCCGATGAATGAATGAACATCCTCAAGCATTGAAAAGAATGGAAAAACATTGAGCATTAAAATGACCAAAATACCCTTATCTAGACTAAGTAGATGTCATGGATTAATTAAGGAATCCAAATAAACATGGGTGTGGTACTGATCTTAAAAGTTATGGATCACATATTAAGCCGAGCAACCAATGCTAATGTATATCAGTACCAGAACAACATAAATGTCACTTGAATGCATGTTCGACTTCTCAAGTTTGACTCGATGATAATTTTTGAAGTATTCAACTCATCTCAACTGTATATCGCATTCGGTACTAAGAATTTGATATTCGTTAGACAAATTAACCATGAAGACCAAATTGAACTGAACGAAAGTATAATATGTATCCGAAATTTAGAAACGTCTGAATTACTCTGGAAAACCCCGAAGTAACTGAAATGAACTTGACTGCTAAATGAGCTAAGTAATCTCAATGATGGAGGATTAAGTAAGTGATTTGGATAAGTCTGGAAACTCTGATGAGTTTATAAGATGTATTATTCTTATGGGTCATGAACTACAAAAGCACATTAATATTTCATGATATCGTGGAAGCGTGGAAATGAAATAAAGACAATTGGAAGGTCTATTCAACGATGATTCCGAAGATGATCTATGAATAATTTTTGGTATTAAAGAGTGAATACCTGAAGGACAAAGAATGAACCGGTCAACATGCATTAGTTTTGGGAGTTGCTCAGTTTGAGTTATTTCGATAATCTGATAGATATACACAGACTGTAAATGTCTTGAACCTTCATTTCTTCCTTATCAGCTCAAGTCTCATTCTGAATAATTGATGATTCCGTCAATTATTGAACTCATCCAATCGTGATTCTAAATTCCGACATTTTATCGGTATATTGAAGATCCGTGTTCTCTGCCTGCTAAGATTATCCCGTACCTCTAAATAATATCTGTAAACTCTGGTGTTTTCCCTAATAACTTGAATATTTTATATTTTTCCTATTGGATTCTGTTATGATACCTGACATGGATTCTGATCTGATACTTGACATGGATTCTGATCCGATGTTTGACATGAATTCTGATCTGATACTTGACCTGAATTATGTTTTGATTTGATGTTTACGGACGGAACATGTTTTATTTGGGGGTATTGTTGAAGGAAGAATACTTGCAAGCTCCTTGGCTTTGTGCTCAAGGCCTACTGGACGTGACGGGTTGTATGGTTCTGGGGAACCTACACATTTGTTCGTGACGGGTGGTATATATATGTGTGTGTTTTAAATGATCTATATCTTTTACTGGTTTTGCGATAACACTAGATAACCTATTATGATCTCCTGAACCTAGACATCCGAAATATTTCCATCTGAACTGAAAACTCATTGTCTGTTACTACCTGAGATATCAATAGGACCTTAGTTCAGCCTAAAAATATGTAAATATCTGAACCAATAAGGAAATATATGTTTTTTTATTATCTACGTTCTTCAGCATCATATGGTAGTTCTGTATTACTAAGCTTTCCGAAGCTCACTCTGTTACTCACTATTTCAGGTTAAAAGAATTGTATCAGTGTAGTTATCGACTTCAGTAAGGGAGTTCCTCCGGCGTTGTTTGCAGAGTATGGTACATGTGATTAGGGGGCATGTAATTGTATTTTGTTTTATATCTGAGTCTGAAAATCTGTTTATTTACATATTGATAAATCATTTTATAAGTTACATGTTTTAAGAAAAGTTTTAACTTTTTCACTATATTTACAGTAGGTTGCTCCGGTGTCCCTAATGTGACACCATAGATCAAATCAGATTATCGCATCGGTTTGAGGGGTTACAGAATGTACATAAAAAGAATTATGTCCAAATTCAATTTTGGAGACTTTTCAAACGCAAAAATATCTATGTATTTTTTTCTGGTACATAGCATCACCTCATATGGTTTGAAAGGCACATCGTATCCTTGATGACCTCAATTATAAACAGCTTCTGCTATAATTAGCTGTTGCTAGTAGATTCCATACAGTCAAAATTTCAGTTTTTTAAAATCCCCATTTTTTCTTAAAAGACATTTGGTAAATTACACGTTCGATAATTGAATTTTACTCTCATATTTTACTTATTGTACTTTTAAATTTTTTTAATTTACTCATCGAACTTTATAAATTGAATTTTTTTGTCACTCTGCCATTGGATAATTAAATGACATTATGACATGTCAACTTACATCAAAATGACGTCTTTTTGAAATCCTTAAAAAATTAAATTTTAGAACAAAACAACGTCGTTTTGATTAAGATGCGGTCATGTCATAAAACCGTTAAATAATTAACACTGAGTGATAAAAAAATTCAATCTATAAAGTTCAACGAATAAATTGAAAATTAAAATATAATGAGTGAAATAGAGAGAGAATAAATTTCAGTTATCAAAATATAGTTTACTAAAAAAACAATTACATGAGTCATGTTTTAAATTTTAATCCAATTCTTTTTCTTAATTATCCAGTTTTCCAACGGCACACAGAAACAAGAGAGCAC